TCTTTTAAATTTAACAAATTAGATTCTTTATTTGACAAACATTAGTAAATAAATTGTAAATTACAATATAACTATCCATTCCTGGTTTTGCGTGACAACGTCATGCAGCTACCTTATTGGAATAAATCAAGTAAGATATCTGAAATTATTTTTATATTAAAGTATTGTTGTAATATCCTCATTGTAGATATAACTTAAGCTTGTTCACTAATTGCTAATATTATTGAAAGTTTATAGCTTTTTAAGATATTTTAACCTCATAAGGTTATTAGATAATAGTGGTAGAGATTTGCTTGGGGCTTCATCTGCTTCTGTATTTGGATTAACAATAGTAGCACTGAATGTAGGTATATTAACTCATTCTTCTAGCAGGTAAGTGAAATAGTAATATTGTTATAGCAGTCTTATCATATTAGTTAGTTGTTGTAGGTTTATAATTGGTTTAACAATCTTATGTTGAGTAGAGACTTCATCACTATAAGGTTTGTCTGCATAATAATGTTGAAGAGAGGATAGCATATTCTGTATCGTTGTGATACTTCTTTAATAAAAGCTTTTGCAATATCATTCTGTATAATAGAGTAAGTATATTGGCCATATGTTTTGATTTGTTTAGAATTAGTTGGGAGTAATAGTTTAATAGCAAAGTAGTCACTAAAAAGAGATCAAATCTATAGTATTGTTTGAGTTAATAAATTACTTCTGGTAGAGGTGTGTGTACAAGTATAAAGTCATATGAGAAATATTTTCTGATACTTGGATTTAGTTCTTGATATCTTGTAGGTAGCAGTTTCTTAAAAGAAGTAGCTAGAAATATGATGTTGGGATAAAATCACAGATATAGTAATCTGCTGGTTTCTATTTGTAAAATAACAAGTATTGAAGAGATTGCCAATTTGTTATAGAAAAGTATTGTTGCAGTTGAGGTAGTAAATCATTGACATTTTTAGATAGAGTGGGCAATACTTGGAAGTAAGTATCTTGTAGTTTGTAAAACTTAAAAGGTTTTCTTAAGCAGTTAACAATTACTATTGTGTGCAATCACTACTTAATTGAGAGTTTGAAAGAAAATTCTTTTGTAAAGTATTCTGATATAAGATCAAAGCTTGTGGAAAGATGAAGTAGTTTCTCTTGAAATGCTTTGAGTATAGCATTCTTGATTTCCTTTGGAGTTATCATTTTCATTTAGATTTTGAGTAATTCTCTTGTATAATAAATTAATTTAAATATAGCAAATTAGCTGATTATGATAAAATTGGTGTTGGCGAGATGTTGTGCAATAAGCATCTTTTTGAGCATAGAGTGAATAGTTTTATGTACCTCTCGATTGATAATTGTGAGCTAGTTGTTGGCTTTGTAGTTAGCTAATACCATATTGTATAGATTTGTATATTCTTTCTGATATGCTAGTATAGTTTTGGGGTTTCTAGAAAATGTAGTAAAGAATTTTGTGTCTAAATATTTGAACTTTAAATAAATTGCTATGAGTAGCTCAAATTGAGTAGAAATAGAGCTAATTTTATGCTGCACCAATTGATATATACTATCAGAAATTTGAAGTGAAGTAGCTTGGTATTATATGTCCAGTTATATAGGTCCAATTATTATTTTGTGCCTTGTACAATTTTGCTTGCAACTTGTTATACCCATGCAGTACTATCAAATACCTCAAAGGTAGATAGATTGAGGTTTTTACATGTGACTTGGCTGTAGGATAGTTTGATTGTTTCAGTAAAGTCTATAATAGTCACTGTATATATAGGTGATACTGTTGATAGTGATTGAAGTTCTTGCATATTTGTAGTAGTAGTACTAATTGGTGTAAGTCTAGACCATTTTTTGTTACTACAGATCTTAGTAGATTAGGTGGATGTATGAATATTTTGATAGATAGTATTATGTCTAGAGATATTGACTTAGGCTGCTGACTACTTGTTTGTTTTGTGTAATCTAGAAGATGCAGTTGGTGTGCTGCCTGTTGTATAATCTTTAAGTATTGAGTACTAGTTTTGCCTTTGTTTTTCGATATCATATTTGTAGTACTAGTAAGATTTTTTTGGTTAGTATCCTTATCTGTATCAATTTTTGGAATCAAATTGTAATGAATGCATGCTATGTCTTTAGGGTATTTTGGTATATAGTATAACTTCTGTGTTTGCTCATATGCTTTGATTGTTACTTCTATATCACAGTTATATGTAACTCTAGGTAATTTGGAATTGATATTTACAGAGCTGTGTTTGGTACTTGTAAGGTTGAATAGAATTGATTTGGTTATATTACTGTGTTTGTATATCTATTGTGTAGAAAATTTAACCATATTTGGTATATTTTCAGACTAAGAGAATTCCACAATAAAGAGAAATTTGTTTGCAAATTCTGAAATATGAAAGGTAATAATAAATATAAGTTTAGACCAGTCTTTAATATTAATATTTACAAATTTCTTGGTATATTCAATTGTAACATACTTGTTTAAGGTAGTAGATGTTGTAGTTTTAGAACTTGACTTGCTGGTAAAGTAGATTAAGTGATTAATAAGAGAAAAGCCACTGGAGGAGCTAGTGTTTATGAGTGCTTGCTAAGTAGTTGTTTTTTGGTTCTAAGTGAGCTTGGTTGTTATTGTTAGTTGCAGTAATCTTGCTGCTAGTTGCAGCATCAGTTGTTGTGGAAGGGTCTATAGGACCAATTTCACAAGAAGAATAAATGTTTGCTGAAGAGCTGCTTTTTTGTTTTCTACCTGTGGTGTTAGCAAGAAAGGTCTTGCGATCACAAGTATATGCTTTCTATATACTAGTTTGGTGCTAAACAAGTTTACTTAGAAGCTAAAAATACATTAACTTAGTATAGTTTGTAGTTATTCACCTTGAAAGTTTTTTCTCTTTAGTTCCAGTTTTGGTAAAAGTGATTTATAAAAAGAGTTCTCAATTATTACAAGTATATTTTTTAAACATTGTGTCTATTAAAATTTATATCATTGTAAAAAGCATACTTTAACCTATAAAAATTTTATTAGTAGCATTTTTAATTTTTTGGTAAAATCAAACATACAGATCACATGATAAAATGATCTACATACACTTTACCCATTGGACCTAGCTGCCGCACCAATTTTTCACGGATGATTCTCGATTTTGATTGGCTAACGGCGATGATCTCTTGATTTTGATTGGTTAAGAGCGACGATCAAAAATTTTGGCCAAAGTTACTCAAAATTTTACTAATGAAACCACAACCGCACATTAAATGAAAAATATTCCTGGGCTAATTTTACGATTGTGCGGGCCTATTTCTCTAAAAATTTCCATTTTGGGAATGAAAAAGTTAAAAAGTTAATTCCGGCCAAAAACAATTATGTAATGCGGGCCAAAATTTTGTAGATCACGGCCGTTAGCCAATCAAAATCGAGAATCATCCGTGAAAAATTGGTGGGCAGCTAGGTCTTTTCACTTTACCCTTAAGTAACAATTACATATTATACTCGGACGATCATTACGAATTTATATTTTGCATAACGATAATAGCTAATTAGAGCCTAATAGAAAACGAATAAAAGGTTTTATAGGTTCTTAGAGAGATTTTGAGTTAATTAGTATTTTTTAGAGGATTCTTTTGTGTACCGGGTACACTTTGGGAAGATACTTACTTGTATCGGTCATGCTTTTTAGTATTTTTCTTGTCTTGTACATTGCAATAAATAGTTGATTTTCTATTTTTAATGCTTACGACCAGTAGTTAAATTGGCAGTGCAATAGGAAAGCCTCTCCCTTGTCGTAACAATATGATAAAAAAATTTTCTAAAATTTAATTATAAGTCAGTTATAAGCAATTCAATCATTGATTACAGTTTTTAGAATCCGTTTATACCATATTATTTTTAATGTTTATAATTTAATACTATTAATAAGTGCATCATTATTATTATACTAATTCAAAGCTAAAATGTTCTTCCAATTTGACTTATCCGTGATTATATTAAAAGCAAATGTTATTACGTAGTAATGAACTTGGTTAAAATAAAATACTTATACTTAATCATCATTGAAGGCAAAATGACTACTCTTCTAATTATAACCTCTGCCATTTGAACAAATCTTTAATATCTTCACTTTTAAGTACCATGTTAATAAGATGTAATTGTTCTTCTGTTCTTTACAGAAAAAAGCAAAGTTTTTTTATTTACAATAAAACTATTAAAATTTCATTTATAAAATAATAATTTTATACAGTATTGCAGTAATCATGTAATAATTTTTCTATCATCATTATTTAAGATTATATAAAGAAAATTTGCATGTTTCTGTAAAGTATAAGGCGGAATATCAGGTAAGTATATTGAGAAGTGTCGAATAATCGTTTCATATTGATTCAATACTCTAGGGCTTCTAACTTTGAACCATTTTGAGTTTTTCTTCCAACAATTTTTTCTCGGCTTCTAATAGTTTTATCTTTTCTTCATATTGTTGTTTTTGTAAATCGAGTTCTCGTTGCATCTTTTCTTTGATGACTCTAACTTTCTCTTCAGTTTTTTCTGATGCAGTGTTATCAAAATTGTCACTTAGACTATCAGAAGTGTCACTTAGACTATCAGAATTGTCACTTAGATTATCAAAATTGTTACTTAGACAATCAAAATAAACCTTTCTAGCATTTCTGATCTGTCTTAAATCATCCATGAGTCTCTGAATATCTTCATCTGGAAAAGGAGCTGGAGCTGGTCCGCCGGTATTGTTCAAATAGTTAATTGCCATTTCTCTTCTTGCATAATTCCAATCAATAACACAATCAATTACATCCTCTGACATGGTGTTTGAATTGATTTGCAAAGAAGGTTTATTATTTCTCTCACGTTCACGTCTAACTTCTTCAGGATTATTAAACCTGAATACATGAAAATCTCCAAGGATAATACGAAATCCCGATTTCAACTTTTTTGGCTTATTTATTCGATGGCCATTAACCATAGTTGTGGTTTCTGGAGATGGGTGCAATGTCACCGTTCCATTTTCATTAGTAAAATGGCAATGAGAGTCTAATATTTTTTCACCAGCTAGACGTATATCAGATGGAGTTTCTGAATCAATGCGGCCCACGCGCGTAATTCCACTCTTAATTTGGTAAACCAAACACTCCGACAAAAGAGGATCTTCATTGAGATTAACAATGTGTGGCACCATTTTAGGAGAATGTACACCAACAGCACTTTTCTTTTTTCTCTCGATCATGATCCCAAGTTCTTCTAGTGTTTTTCCTCGTTCCAGTTGAATTTCTTCCGTACGCATTATCTTTTCCTGACAAGTTTCGGTTACTTCTTTCATCAACTTTTCTGATGCTTGAATTTGATCGAACAATTCTTCTTTTGTTTTCTTAATAACGTTGCCCTCCATATCTTTAAATGTGACAATTTGTTGACTGTCAAGAACACTAGAATCATAAACTTTTCGTAACATTGGTAATTCTTCTTTAAGTTCACGAATGAGTCTCGCATTAAGATCTTCATTAACAATAGCCTTGCATTTGATTCGCTTTGCTGCATCAGCATAGCGAAGAGTGCTGAGTGTTTCATCATAATCTGCTGGAGAAATAGCAGCGATCATAGTTGTCTTGCAGTTACCTCCCAAAACTCCCAATTTGTCTTTAAGTAGCCACGTTAAGACCTATAATCAATTTTTTAGTTAATTTCCTTGAACATATATTAACATATCTTGCATTAGTTGTCTAAATAAATATCTTACAGAGTCTCTATAAGGAATGAACCAATCTTTTTTGGAACCACTACCAACAGAATATTGAGCCAAAGCAGCAATTACTTTACCCAGAGTAGTTAATGATTTATTAATGTAAGCACTTTTAGCATTATTAGCACGTTCTGAACCAGCTAAATCCACAAGACTTGAAAAATAAAGAAATAGTAAATTATATAACTTTTAAAAAGATAGAATTGACAATTAAAATAACAGACAATCTTAATACCTAATACGAGACACTTTTTCAGTATCCATTTTAGTTGCCTCATTGTAATGTTTCTGCGTTAGCAATAATGTAAATATGGCATGCGAACGGCTCGAAGTCACATTCATATTTGTAGCAGCCACACTTCTTAACTAACCATACACCATATGTAAGTGGACAAAATAAGATGAATAATAATTAAATAAAGTTATGTAAATATTATTATGTAAATATTATTAACTCCACATACTTTAAGACCTTCGTCTATCAAATTTTCTATATCTTGAAACGAGTTGACAATTAAATTGGATACGTCTTCAACATATGGCCCAAGTGCAGGATGTTCTCTAAGTTTAAGATTTTCTTTATTTTTAGGGTTCAGTAGATCCCGAATACGTTCACTGTAAATTTCAATAAAATAAACTTGAACTTTGTATGTAACATTAGGATTTTTACTACATTCAATTCGATTGAATAATTCGCGACATGTGAGAGGAATAATTCCTTTATCTTCTCCGTATCCCATCTTTATAGGAACATATAATGTTAATATGAAGACTTAAATGGAATTTAATTATTATAAATAATTATCTTTAACCATACCATAGTATGAGATTTACCAGCACCAGTCTGACCATCTAAATAGATAAGAATTTTGCATTATTATATTATCAAATAATTATTAGTTACGTCTGAAGAAAAGTTTAATCAACATATACATACATGCAAAAATACAAGTATTATATCCTTCAAAAGCGTGGTTTAAAAGTTCTTTTCCGAGGTCGTTATATAAATGTGTCTGAATAGCGTAATTAGGATCATTTTTATCAAAGGACCAGTATGATTTATCGAAAGTAAAGGCTTTGACATCTTCAAAGTAATTTTTAACGACTTTTGCATTACCGGGATCATTGGTGTCTGTTGGCCTAGTAATAATAGTTTGATTGCCTTCCATTCGGATAAGGCACTTTGCTCCCCGTGCAATTTCTAAACCAAAAGCACATATAGACTTTTAGATACAAACATTTTAAGTTTCATTTACTATTCACAGTAACATAGAATTAAGAGTGCTACAAGCCAAATTCTTGATATATTGAAACAAAATGTACGAAGTCGCAAGCCTTGTCTCACATTTAAACTAATGATAACGATTCTTACCTCTAGAATTGAGAGGACGACATCTTACTACTACTTTAATATTATTTCCATTCATTTTCGTACAGACTTATAATTATAACCTTAAAACAAATGCCCAATGGGAATTAAAGCAGATGGATTTGTATCGAAAATAATTAACTGTCAAGATTATAATAATTTATATTAGAGATAAAGAAAAGTAAGAATTTTGTGATGCCATAAATCACAAGGGACTTCAGCACAAAAACGAATGCTGCAGATACATCGGGATTTAGCGATTTGACAGTTGCACTTGTAGTATAAAATTGATAGTTCACATGTTTCACAGTTTCTAATTTAAATTCCGTACTTGTGCTCCTCGATTTGCGGCTGCATAACTATTTTACCACGCCGCCACCACAAGCGAGAACCTACGTACGTACGTAAATGTTTTATATATCTTAATAAAAGAAAACAGAATTGAAAATATTAACTTTATACATAAATAGCACATGACCATGTGACGGCTTCGCCACCGACTAATAATTAGCAATAATATGAAACTGCCAGTTAATAATAATATGATAATACATGATTAATTGAAATCAAAAAATAAAGTCCAATGCAAATAATATTAGTTTTGAATAGAAGCGTAAATATAGAACAAAGTAGTCAGAAAAGATGCATTCTAGCATAAACTGAATATTGTATCAATCTTTATTTAATCTTTTTTTTCCTTACATGTAATTTAGTAAAAATAATTGTTTGAGCATATTGCATCTGATTTTATTAATAATGATTAGTGCAATAATATATATTTTATAAGGTAACGGCACTTTTTGCACAATTGTTAATGTACACTTTGCAATGAAATTTTTTGTACATCCGTTAATTTAAATTGTAAAAGAGTTCCACCATCGACTACAAGCTCAATGCCAGATATCCAACTACCAGCACGCGAAGCTAAGTATAATGCCGCTCCAGCCATGTCTAACTCTCCTCCAACACGACCTAAACCAAATATAAATTTTTATGTAAATTTTGAGTAATAAAAGTAATATAATTATAACGGACAAGATTTAATGTTTACTAATTACCTTGAGGAATATCACTAAGTTTTATATCATCAAGTTCAGCTGGTGTAGATGTTATGGGAGTTATACCAGGAGCCAAGACATTGACATTTATTCCTCGTGGACTAAATAAAAAAATATATATATTTAAATTTTTCGATATGAAAATATAGAAATTTCAAGAAAATAATTTCATACGTAAGATGCACAGCTAAATTCTTTGAAACGCTATGTACGGCAGATTTGGATGAACTATAAGGTAGGGCACATAATCCAACTGCTTGCATTACTTTGAGCTCACCCTCACCGATACCTGATTATGTAAATTTGTTAATATGTATCACTGTTATCATTATGAGAGAATATAATGCAACCATTTAAGATTGAAAATACCAAGAATACTCCCGGTTATGATAACCCTTGATGGATCAACCAGTTTTTTACTGGCCTTTTCGAGTAATGGTAAAAAACTAGTATATATAAACCCTTAGCGCGTTAACATTAACTTAGATCAATATGAGTTGTACAAAAAATATATGAAATTGCTTACGCCATCGTTAAATAGAAAACACATTTAACATTTAAGTTATAGATTCTATCCCACGCATCTTCGGGAATATCTGTCAAAGCCGACTCATGCCAAGTACCAGCATTATTCACAAGAATATCTAGTTTAACATTTCCTAAATTTTTGAAATCAGTCACCAATTTTTCGCAAGCATCTTTTGAATCCAAATTCGCTTCAATACTAAAACATTTTCCGGGACCCATTTCTGTTAATTCACTTGCAACTTTATTTTTTTTTAAAAGTATAATTATTATGAATAGAGTTTGATTTATTTATTGCTATGTCAGATTATAATTTGAATTCTAAAAAAAAAAATATTATAATATACCGTCATCAAGGCTCGCTTTGTCCCTTGAAGCAACTGTTTTATTCCTTGAAGCGATATAAACTATCGCACCATTCTTTACGAATGCTTTTGCAATCATTTTACCAATTCCAGTGCCTCCACCTGTAATTAACGCTATTTTATCCTTCACTGAGAACAAATTTGAGACTAGTAGATCATCAGACATTTTTGAGAAATGTTTATGTATCTTTGAATGAAATGTGTATGTATCTTTGAATGAAATGTGTATGTATCTTTGAATGAAATATGCATTCTTTTTTATAGATACGTGTGATGTTTGGCGCAGTGACAAAGATTTGACGATATTTGCTAAATTTAATTTATGTTAAACAAGTATCGGTATGATACATATGTCAGAACATAATAACGAAGTGTTGCATTATGTCAGAACATAATAATATAGTTAGTAATTGCATTACGTAACATCAGAACATAATTACGTAGTAACTGATCGTAGTACGTACGTATTGTACGTAGGTAAATCTTTACTTTTCACACCGCAGCACTCACATATTGTATGCAAATGTTACTAAAAAAAAAAAAAACTTTAATAATTTTACCGGTTTGGATTGAGAATAATAATAATTATCGCTATGAGCTCCGTTACACTACTTTTTGGGTTAGTGTTTAAATTTAATGCGCAGGCTGCACAGGCTGCACAGCCTGCGCATTACGCCGTACATACGTACGTACGTAATTCGGTGGTGGGTTATTTTAATAGTATGCATACAATAGTTACGTACAAATCAAATCAAAAACCTCAATCAAATGGAATAAAGATCAAGCACCAGTAATAAACTAAATTCAATAGTGGCTTATTTTTTCAGCAGTACTGTATGCATAAAATAGATCTAAAAACCTCATTAACTTTAAAATTTCCTGCACCGTACGTAAACAAAAATGGTTATGCAGCTAGATTTTTTTTTTCATTTAACGAATAAGCAAATTTTTCACTGACAAGGTTATCATTTCAAATTTATCGGAAAAGGAAATTCATTTGAAAAAGAATACGTTATCTATTTGTCCAAATTAGATCCCCCTATTGATTTAATTATCTTTAAACGGTATAGCACAATTTTATTTCATCTCGTTTGATATAATTACAGCCATTCGAAAGTTTAGATTGAATCCAAAATCCCAGGTTGCAAGTTTTGTATTAGTAAATTATCTGATATCTGTATGTTGTTACATACATCATATATCGAATATTCGGGATTTTTTTTCAACAATTTGTAATTAATTGACCATGAAAGTTGTTATTTCATTTTGTGGTAACAATAGAAATTTCTCCCCATGTTCACGAATTATTATGTGTGCTACTGATTGTGTGATTCGCATGTAATTTTAATCATCTGACTACTGTTTCAGTGGATGTCGGTAATGATCCAATAAGATAACACATAGGTTTTATTTTCTACATGTGACAGAAAGTGTTGTATAAACGGGATTCTACAATGCTGGTTTAGCACAAGGTCATAGATATAAATTTATGGTTGGGCAGTTAAAGAAGATAATTTTAATTACTATAAACATAACGGGTTTTTTATATCGTCGTCTATTTTAAAGTCATCGATCCTTACGTATATAGTCGATGCAGTCGATCTTTGATCGAAATTCGAAGATCCAAATTAGACACTGCAGGTTGGCGACACACTTATATATAGTACAACGGTTTTGTAGAGGTTAAGGTTATCACGAACTTTTTATTATATAAAAAGCTATTCACGTTAAGTTATGTAATCGCTTTATTTATTTCGATTCAAAACAGAAAGTGCTATTTTATTTTACATCTAAGGGTCTTAGACTATTATCATGGGTCTCGAACCCCGATCTTGCATCAGCAAAATTTTTAAGCAGATATATATCGATATATAGCAGTTAATCGATATATATCGATTAAAAATTATCGATA